AAAGAAAAACAGCTTACTGAACACACTGACTTGAATCTTCTAGACTATGTATCTAGATTCAAAGAAAAATGGTATACTGCTTGTCGAATTGCTCAGAACAATTTAAAACATGTTAAAGAATAAAATGAAAATATAGTATGATAAAGATGCCAGGGGCAGATTTTGTTTAGCCTGGTGATAATTGTAATGTATTTGCATTTTCGCCAGTCCCTGGACATCCTTTACAGGCTAAATATTGTGTTCCTTATACATTAAAGAGTAAAACTAATGAGTTGAGATATATTTTAAAAACACCAGGTCGGCGTAAACAAAATATTGTGTGTCATATCTATATGTTAAAACCATATTTTTAGCGTACTAATGAAGGTGGGATTAAACCAGTTGCCACTTTAGCCATGGTTAACTTGGAGAACGATCATGACAAATAAAGCCATCAGTAGAATAGCGCTATTCAAAATTCATAAATCGATTGAGAAAAAAACATATCTGGGTTACAAACTAAAACTGAGGGAAACACATCAAATATAAGAGGAGAACTACGACACAACAGAAACACAAACTTAAAATGTAACACAAACAGAAACGAACTATAATATAACAATGGCCATTTTCCTGACTTGGTACAGGACATTTTAATTAAAAATGGTGGGTTGAACCTGGTTTTGTGGCTATCCAAACCTCCCGCTTTTATGGCAATGTTAAATATAACATTAAAATGACACGATTACATGATAGGACTACACTACAAATAAATGGGAGAACATACAGGACAGAGACACACACAAATAAGAGCTATCAAAAGGTACCAGGCTTATAATTTAATACGCCAGACGCGCGTTTCGTCTACATAAGACCCACCAGTGACGCTCAGATCAAAAAAGCACGAAAGCCAAACCAAACACAAAGTTGAAGAGCATTGAGGACCAAAAGTTCCAAAAAGTTGTGCCAAATACGGCTAAGGTTATATGCCTGGGATAAGAAAATGCTTAGTATTTAGAATAATTCATACTTTTGCAAACAGTAAATTTATAATAGATATACATGTTAACACCGGTGTGGTGACTTACTACAGAATAAAAACGAATACATAAAACAACCTAAATCAGCACATAAGAAAGACACAGCCGAACAACGTATTATGTGTTAGCCGAAGAAATCGACGGACAATGTGACGTCACATTTAAATTTCTATAAATTTCCAAAAAATACGATAGAGTTAAAGCTTAGGTCTGTAATACTGATAAAACATGTATTAATAACAATGAAAATTACAATACTTATTAATATAAAATTGTGGTAGTAATTAGATAATTAATTATATAATCAAGCTATATCGGTATTTCTTCTAAATCAAACTGTAAACCAAATACATCGTATAAATTTAGTTGGCCCAAACTAAAATCTTATAAACGAACTGGGTGATTAATTTTCTTTACCGTAACACACGAATAGAACCGAAAAAAATATGATTTACAACTACAAACGATAAAATATTTGACAAAATCCGATGAAAATAACAAATATAACATCAACACTAAATACATGGATTTTGGATAGAAAAATACGGAGTTTATATACAGGAGTGTGCTACTAACGCAGAAACTGCTCCAACAAAGTTATGAGGAGGACAGATTAAAAATGACACTCCGTATATTTTATGGACACCATCACGAATATAATTGAACTACCTTTTGATTCTAAGACTATGGAACAAACTGGTAGATTGAAAAATTCAAATATTTTGTCAAATTTAGACTCAAAACTTGCACATCTGACTTTTGATCGTAAAGAAAAATTAAAAACCTTGGTATTTTCTTTTTAAATTCGTTTTTACAAAACCACTGCTGTTTGTCATGATGTTGATGTAGGCGATACTTCTCCAATTAAGCAACATCCTTACCGGCTCAATCCACTTAAACTTGATTTTATGAGACAAGAAATTGAATATATGCTTGACAATGATATTATTGAACCGAGTAACAGTGTATGGAGCTATCCTTGTCTCCTGGCACCAGATAAAACCAGATAAAAACTTTCGTTTCGTGACTGATTTCAGAATAGTAAATTCAGTTTCAAAATCTGATTCCTATCCGATTCCAAGGATAGACGACTGTATTGACAACATTGGGCAAGCAAAATGTGTAGGAAATTTGATTTATTGAAGAGTTACTGCAGGTACTATTGACACAGTGAGCTCGTGAAATATAAGCTGTTGTCACACCAGACGGGTTATTTCAGTATACTGTAATGCCGTTTGGTATAAAAAGTGCTCCAGCTACATTTCAAAGAATGATCAATTATGTTATAAAAAATTTAGACTGTTGGTACGCTTATATCTATGATCAACTTGTATGTAGTGATTGCTGGAAAGAGGAATTAACACATTTATATGATACTTTTGATAGAATGTCACAATCAAATTTGACTATAAATCTTGGTAAAAGTGAATTTTGTCAGTCCACTGTTTACTATTTAGGGCATACAGTTGGCCAAGGTCAAGTGAAACCTATTATGGTTAAAGTAGATGCAATTACCAAATTTCTTCCTCCTACAAATAAAAAACAACGTTTGAGATATTTAGGCATGATTGGATTTTACAGGGAATTTTGTTCAAATTTTGCTACTGTCATTCAACCATTGACTCATCTTTCACGGAAAGATTCTAAATTCATCTTGAGTGATAATTGCTAAAATACTTTTGAAAACTGCAAATAACTTTTAAGTAACAGTCCTGTTCTGATCACTCCAGACTTTTGAAAACAATTCAAACTTGCCGCCGAAGCAAGTGATATAGGAGTTGGAGCCGTTTTATACCAAGAGACAGTTGCTAATGTTAAGAAATTTATTTCATATTTTTCCAAGAAATCGGATAAAACATCAGAAAAATTATTCAACTATTGAAAAACAGTGTTTTGCACTGTTGTCTGCACTTCAACATTTTGATGTATATCTAAATCCCACTATGTATACTATTCTTGTTTATACTGATCATAATCCTCTCACCTTCATACAAAACATAAGAAACAGGAACTAGAGGTTGACTAGGTGGAGTTTGATGGTACAGGAATATGATATTATTGTAAAACATATCAAAGGTAAGGATAATGTAATTACAGATTTTTCATCTAGATCTTATTACTCTGACTTGACTGTTAGTGTTGCTCTCCACCTATTGCAACTTATTTAAAATTCTGACCAAACTGTAATTTGTTTTATAAAACCAAACTGTTCAACTGGTCAGAAATTTGAACAAACTGCTGAAGAAAACCGCAGTCAAGTCGTGAAAGTTCAAGGTGATAAAATAAAGCATACTTACAATCATATAAGACTTTAATTCCAGTTCAAGGTTATTATGAAAAATCAGTCTAACAGTTTGTATAGAAATTTCATTGTTATTGTCATGCTAAAGGTGATGGATAGAAATTTTGAATTGCTATAAAAATGTCCAAACTAAGCTTTAATACAATTTTTCTTTCGAAAAGTCTTCTATGTTTATAAGAATCAGACATCATTTGAATTAAAACATCTCATATTCAGTAAAATATATGTGAAATTACAATACGTTGTTAATAAGTTTCCATGGGAGATAACCTAAAACATTATCTTTGAATATAGAAGACTTTTCGAAGGAAAAATTGATTATCTCCCATGGAAACTTCCTAACAACGTATTGTAATTTCACATATATTTTCCTGAATATAAAATGTTTTAATTCAAATGATGTCTGATTCTTATGAATATAGAAGACTGTTCGAAAGAAAAATTGTATGAAAGCTTAGTTTGGACATTTTTATAGCAATTCAAAATTTCTATTCATCACCTTTAGCATGACAATAACAATAAAAATTCTATACAAACTGTTAGACTGATTTTTCATACTGTGACTTGACTGTTCGTGTTGCTATCCACCAATTGCAATTTATTCAAAATTCTGACCAAATTGCAATTTGTTTTATAAAACCAAACTGTTCAACTGGTCAGAAATTTGAACAAACTGCTGTAGAAAACCACGGTCAAGTTGTGAAAGTGCACGGTGATAAAATAAAGCATACTTACAATCCTATAAGACTTTAATTCCACATCAATGTTATTATGAAAATTCAGTCTAACAGTTTGTATAGAAATTTTATTGTTATTGTCATGCTAAAGGTGATGGGTAGTAATTTTGAATTACTATAAAATTGTCCAAACTAAGCTTTCATACAATTTTTCTTTTGAAAAGTCTTCTATATTCATAAGAATTAGACATCATTTGAATTAAAACATCTTACATTCAGAAAAATATATGTGAAATTACAATACGTTGTTAATAAGTTTCCATGGGAGATAACCTAAAACATTATTCTTTTGAATGTAGAAGACTTTTTGAAAGAAAAATTGATTATCTCCCAAGGAAACTTACTAAACACGTATTGTAATTTCACACATATTTTACTGAATATAAAATGTTTTAATTCAAATGATGTCTGATTCTTATGAATATAGAAGACTTTTCGAAAGAAAAATTGAATGAAATCTTAGTTTGGACATTGTTCAGACACCTGTCTATTGTAGAGGACTGTATGTTGCACGTTATATATCGTTTGAATGAAATCGGTACTACATAATTACTACACCATCAGAAATTGGTTGACCCATACAATATTACTGTTTCACCAGCGACACGTGTTTGCGGTTTAAGATCTTTAGATATCAGAATATAGTAGTCTGATTTGTAACTTTTTCGATTCTTTTTTTTTTTTAGTTTGAATTTGCATGACGGGTGATGCTTGTATTCATAGAAGGAGTCGCTTATCCTAAAGATACACTATGTAACGCTAGGTATGACGTTCAAGCAAATCCCTCTGGTTTGTTACCTTGATGTTATTTGTTCTCAATGGTTAATGAGATTTGAACATTTGTAAACTGTTGTTGCCTTATAATTCAACAAGAAAATATATATGCTTAATCTTGAAAGTGAACAAACATTTTACTTAGAGATATTAACATTATTAACTTACGTTGTGCTGAAACACTCAACAGAACAGTGGAAATTGATAACAGTAATAACATTTCAGCCTCTTTAACTATGTACATCAAACAGGTACAGTCAACAATTAAGCTTTTCTAAAATGTATGTTAAAGGGAAATTATAGGGATTAAAATTGTTCACTCAAATTTAAACGTAAACGTCAGAAGTCAACACTGGACTGATATAGAATCTGATATAATTTTTTTTTTTTGATGTAATACAGTATCAATCTAAGGACAGCATGTTGCTTCTGCATCAACATTTTTCACATGTAAACTGTTGACTGTTGTAACGTCCAAATATAGTCATCAATATAATATATAATAACGAGGTAGTAACTGCGGGCGACATATTGTCTGCATGTAATGTTATTTTTTACTATAAACGGTTGTACAGTTACCAGTAGGAACAAGAATTTAGTGATTATTAAAAACGAACAGTTAAAATTATATTTAACACTGGATAAAAAAATTAAAAAATACCGCACTTCAATGAAAATTCAAATCGGAAAGTCCCTTATCAAAAAGGTAAAATCAAACTCTCAAACACATCAAACGAATGGAAAACAACTGTCATATTCCTGACGTGGTACAGGCATTTCCTTATCTAGAAAATGGTGGATTAAACCTGGTTTTATGGCTAGCTAAACCTTTCACAAATAAAATACAACAAAAAGAAAGAAACATATAGAGCAAAATATTGAAAATCAAAGTTTGACACTGTTCTCTTGGTTGTTGTTTGCTGTTTGTTAGTTGTTTTCGTTTTGGTTTTTTTTTTGCTTGTTACACTGTCCTTTTCCGCAATATTTCATTGGTTAATCAATCGTATGAATGACCATCTGCCAGAAAAAATATCAATTGGATATACTAACCTGAAATGACAAGGTATTTCTCATTACGATAAACAATTTTTAATCATATGGGAACTTGCAAAAAGAACGATATAACTTTTGATTGAACAGAAGAATTGGAAATTAACAATTTTCAAGCGTATTTAATCCGAGAAAGTTAAACTCAGGTTTTGTCATAAGCGTTTTGAAAATGAATACACTTATTTATTTAAAATTGAAATATCATAGTATTTCAATGGATATTTCACATGAAAAGAGGTAAGAGATAAAAAATAGATGCCCAAACTCATCAATCGAAAGCTGAAGACAAAGAAGTATACAAAACACAACCTAGAAAACTTAAGGCTAGGCAACACGAACCCAACCAAAACAGTTTGTTTTCTCAAGTCCTCAGGGAGGGTATTCAAATCCTGTTCCACATGTGGCACCCGTTGTGTTGCTCATGTAAGAACACACCCGATGAAATGTATAGTTCGATATATCACATTCGAGGAAAGAGGACAGGGTTGTGGTTACTACAATTGGAACATACTTGTCGTCATTTGTAAAACATATATTCCATTACGTTGAACTAACTCGTAATGGCGTTCGTAAAATGTTCGTAGAGATTACTTCACAACTTGAAACTCTTTGTTTTACTAAATTCATTGTAAGCAGCAACCATCTACCAGGAACATTTTGATAGGAAATTCAAGCTCTGGAATAACGTATCAGCTGGGAGTTATATACTCCATGTACAGGCGCTGCTGGAATGTTGTTACATAGAATTTCACGATAAGGAAGCTGAAATCATCTCTTTTGTTGTAAAGTTTTTATTCTAAACCGACCCACATTGTCAATTTATAGATGTAAGTAACAAATTAGGTAACCAACGGATTAAGTGCAAGAATTAAATTATGGATACAAAATGCAGCTAGAGAATCAAACAACAAAGAATTCGAATACATACGGACGAGATATAAAGTCAAAAAGATATGAAAGTGAATCTTGAAGCCAACAGTTTTCAGAATGTTCACTGGCTCTCGTAAACTGTGTACATGATTGGGGAAGCCTCAATTAAAATTACATAGATTGTTTTGGAAAAAAAAAAGAATTTGCATAGTGATTAATTATAGAAATACTTGAAAAAAAAACAGAGAAAAGTTTTTCAAAATGATTGACAATAGTCAACTTTGAATTAAACTTTGACACGACTAAACCTTATCCGAATCTAAAATTAAAACAATCGATTGAAAGACAATTGTATGCAAAGTGTCGACATTAAAGCTTAACTCACTCTCATAACATTTCACTGTATCTGAATTACCCTTCAATTAAATAACATAGATTGTATTGGAGAAACCCAAAAGAAAAAAATTTCAAATAGTCAATTTTTTAATGCGACTAAACTTAATCCACATCTCAATCTAAATATACCGATCGAAAGAAAGAGAATTTTGTGCAAATTACATTGATATATATATACATTTTTGGTAAATTAAGGATCTAATAAGTAACAGTTAAAAGTTTCAACTCTCGTTGAGATTTATACACGATCTGTCGAATGAATCGGTGAACATAAATGCCGATATAGTCATACAATGGCCTATATTGGTGGATATAATAGTTAATGTTAAACAAAGTATCAGTTGTTTGATCCATAGTACCATGCTGTAGATTTGATGAACGTAAATGTTATATTTCTCCAAAAATGAACTATTTCTTGCAACTATGAAAAATTGTATTTTTAGGCCCTCTTATATTTGTATACTGCAAGAGTTGCTTTAATTTTTTTGAAACGTATTCAAGTATGTATTTCATTTTAAATGGAAAGGAAACATGGTACTTATCTAGGTATCATATTGTAATATAAAATTATGACTTTTGTTTTGTCAATATTAGAGCATTGGACTGCATCATGCCATTCACCATTTTCTATACGTTATCGTTTAGTGTTGTTTTATTTATTTTTTTTTTTTGTTATTTGTTTGGAAAAGCTTTAACTCACTCCTTTCTTCGTACTCAGGAACAGGTCTACACTTAACGGATAAAGCTTTATTAGCCGCAGTCAATACTTAGTTGTTCATATAATGAATGAAGGCAGATGATTTTATAACTCTGTGAACACGGTGAATACATGATTGGATGTTGAATGTGTACTGATTAATATTTTAGTCTTAGAAAAAAAATTGTTATTTACTTGTTATTTGCTTTGAACTAGCTTTCAGTACCTGCGACAATTCTCAGATCTACACTTAGTGTCTTCTGAGTTTTTGTTGGGGTTTTAATGGGCTTTGTATCGATCTGATGAGTTAAGCCGATTTCGACAGATTCTTATAGTTGTTCTTATGATGTGGACTGTTACACCACTGTCCCATGTTAGGAGGAAGGTTTGGTGCCAGCAAACATGCTTAACCCGGAAATATTCCAAGTCCGAAGCCTGTAATTCAGTGGTTCACGTGTGTTGCTGGATATCATATTTGTTTTTCGCTTATTGTTGTGTACATACTTCGTTAGTTTTCTCGTTTGAATGTTTAACATTTGTTATTTCGGAACCTTTTATAGCGTAATGTGCGATATGAATTTCACGCATTGTTAAAGGCATTAGTGTGACCTTTAATTGTTAACTTCTATTGCATTTGGTCTGTGGTGGAGAGTTGTGTCATTTGCAATCATACAATAACTTTTTATCTTCATAAATAGAAAGTATAGATAAGATACTACCTGAGGAACATATATGTTTTATCTTTTGAGGAAATAATGGTTTAAGTTGAGAGCAGCATGATACGACCGCATCATTTTCACTTGTAATCGTTGAATAATTGCAACGGTATATAAAAAGCGACTATGGATATACTGTCGTTTCAAAAGTGTTTATGGATTCAACAACTTTGTTCAGCATACACTAGTGGTCATGGAAGTTTGTGACGGCGTCCGACAAAATGGGCCCAGAAGCGGTAAAACGTATATTTGACTATGATGTTGCAAAGATAAAGTCGATGAGCACGTGCAAAATATTTGTTCGCCGCCTAAAAACAATATTACTTCACTAACTATATCACATATACAGCTTACCATGTGGGCGTTTTTTGTAATATCCTTGTATATTTAAAGTCCGCAATAATTATTTTTAACACAATTCCGTATTTTAGCCTATTCATATTATAAGTTAATTCCCTTACCGAAAAAGATAGTTGGCAAAGTGAAATAGTCTAAAGCTAGTTTTGTTGTTTTGTTTCATTTTGCATAAGTATCCCATCAGAACTAACAGATAAACAGGTTGAGAGTTTATCGAGGAGCTATGGATTGTTGATGAATTATATTTTGCCCAAATAGAAAGTTCTCAACTTGATAATCTCAACGATGATGATAGAGCTGTTGTGAATCTGATGATTCCAATTAAGTCAGAGCAAGATGGTATGCTTATACAAGTTGATCCGTGAAATGAAGAAACTTGTGAATGTGTGAAACATAAGCCGCAGAAGTGAAATACTTTAAATTGATGATTTATTAAAAAAATACAGTACATATGTACATGTTCAGGTAGCAACAAAATAAAGGGACTAATTCTCCTCGAGTAAAAAAAAGTATACCAAACTCCCAGGTGACAGCCAAGATACAGGTAATAATATGAAATATTAATTAAAATCAGATTAAAACAAACTGATAAGTGAGCAACAAAATTACTTATTTGAATATCAACATTCGCTGTTTATATATATCTTGTTTATCATGTTTATATATTAAAATAGTAAAAAAATAAATCTTGTGATAAACCAGGCTGTGTATCCCTCTAAACCGCTTAAGTAAATACAAAATGTGACTGACAACTTACAAATGTACTCATTTAGAACTACAATGTATGCATCATAGACATGTAAGACATGTATATAACATCAAAAGTCCATTACTAGTATGGACTTCTGATAACATGTATTTAAAATGTACTTTCATTTTGTTAAATATTTCTAAAATCTATGTACACATTGAAATTTTATTTACTCTAAATCATTTATAAATTTAATGCACTTCTTTTTACCATACTGCAAAATGATTTTTTAACATGTACATATTGACTTTTTATGATGAAACCAAAAAATTGTAGTTTAGTATTAATATTAAAAATAGGATGTTAGCTAGTTTACTCTGAAATTGATCAATCATAAATATATTCCTGAAAATTGCTGCACTAGATGTTTAGCAACATGTTTAACGTTAAATTAACAACACCTATGAACTTAATTAATAGACAGTTTATACCGACAGCACCAATCTGAAAACTACATCTTTATGTTATAGTCTGAATATACACATTACATTAGCATGACTATCATATGTATATCTACATATGCATATTATACCAGCATCTTCATAGATATAAGAAGATGTGGTATAAGTGCCAATGAGACAACTCTCCATCCAAGTCCAAATTTATAAAAGTAAACCATTATGTCATAATACATGTCCTTATAAGATGCACACATTTATGAAGTCGCTTTGTATTTTAACTCACAGAATTTCATCTTGTTTAATTCAACCTATAAATTGTCCTTTTAACTCAGTCTAGAAGTAACATTTAAGTGAGAAAAAAACCAATTTGATATATATGTTGACTCTATTCTTCTTTAGTTCTTATGTTAGTGATTTTGTGCATCCTACAGATCTGTTGAGAGTTAAGCCAATTGCTATTGAAATTCTATTTGCAGTAAAAAAAATTCTGAGTCATAAACATGTATCTCGGGTGTTTCAAAGCACCATTTTTTTTATTGGGTGTTTCTATAGAATATTTTGGAATCTTCAGGCTACATGGTTACTAAAGTGTGTACACAGGAAATAAAGGGATGAACATTTGATTGGTTAACTTCAATGTAATGTTATGTAAAATTTTTGTCTGTAGTACTGGACAGGGTAAATCTTTACTCATGCCAAGTATTTCTTTATTTAAAATTAAGATAAATTCTGCACATTTTTTGGAAAAGTGTAAATTTAACAAACACTAATAGGGGAAAAACAATGGTGGTATTACTGCTATACAGTATGGGTTTTCCTCATTTTTGAAGGCCGTACAGTGCCTTTAATTGCTTTAGATCACTTCATTTTAACTTATTTGATGCTTGTCGCATTGGCATTTATATCACATATCCTCATTTTTATATAAGGTATATTGTTTGTGTTATCAGGAAAGCTGTTTAAAGACATTTTCGCCTAAATGAATTTAATGATATTAATTTCAAACTTCTGTTAAATTGTGTGTTTTTTTGTGTTTTTTTTTCCTTCTCAACTGAGTTAAAAGGAAAATGTAGGTCGAGTTTAATAAGATAAAATTTTGTGAGCTAAAATGCAAAGTGAATTTTATAAATTTGTACATTTTATAAGAACGTGTAGATGATAATAATATTATGCATATAAATTCAAAATATAACATTTTTGTTGATTTTATGCCAATTGTTTATATATATATAGATAAGGCTCCCTGTAGTTTCAAGAATTCTATTTTCATAAAAAAATTTGATTTCAATATAGATACTTAATAAAAACCAGAATGAGTCCATACATGTATATTACGAATAATTAACATTCGCATAAGTTTTCTTATAAGTTTAAGATTTCATATCATCATGATAATCTTTTTGTTTAATTTTTGTATTGACATTTTTTTTTTGATAAAAAGTACTAGAACTTAACGGTTTCAACACACTTAAAAATGCAAAAATGTCAAAACTCATGTACATTAGAAAAAAAACATATTTAAATATTTTTGCATGATCACGATAATACAATAATGAATTAAAAGAAGATAGATCAAGGATAAGAAAGGTTATTTTCTCTTATCATCACAACATATCTTATTCCCAAGTGTGCTTGCTTTTACAGACTACTTTAAGTTTCAGGGGCGGACCCTGTTCCTAAATACCACTTAAGGTGAGGGTCACACTCCCCCTACACCCCTTGATTCGTCACTGCGTCTGACCACTGTGGCACTTATTACCCATAGAAATATAATTAGTCAATTCAAAGATTGTACATGTACGCATCCGATATCCATTGCAGGAAAAAAAACATGCTTAACCCTTTTGAAATTTGTTGTCTCCTCTGGCTACATTTAAAACATACTGCATGTACATTATTTATTGGTGGTGTAATATCATTTATTTGGTATATATTTTGCAGATAGTGTCATTAAGTCAAGTAGGAATAGCCATACTATTGCCTAACTAGTCCAGGATATGGAGAAACCTGCCTTATATTATGATTGGAAGAAATACCTTCAGCAGTATTTTAGAATACTGCAGCATATAAGCACATATAACCACTTCATTATTGATTCATCAAAACACATATGTGTTATATGTGAAGAATTATGTGACTCTGAAGTCCGAATCTTATCATCAATATGTTTAAAAAGAAGAACAATATAATTTCACTGTCTATTATGCCAAATACCTTAACACCCAAAGGTTTAAATGCAGCAAGACCATGGTATCTCTATGACAAAAAGCAGGGAATAGTGTTAAAATGAAACTAATAAGGATATAGTCTGTCCAAAGCCAACCATTGCCAAAACTGTTGTTGACTTGACCGATGAAGGAGAATCCAATGACCAATAATGTCCATTAGGAACGGAGCCTTTTATATGTTTTATGAAATAAAATACCAAAGTTGTTTTTGTCTACTATTCTAATTTGAAATACTAATTTGAAAATATCAAATTCTCAAGGTTATTGTCACCAACAAAATTAAAAACTTTTTCAATTGAAACTAAATTGACCACACGGCAGAAAACTGGCATATCCTGCACTTGGTATATTCAGTTATAATGCCCTTAAGTTCAAGGTTTTATTTCGTTTTATTTGAGGAAAAAAATCAAATGGAAGTTTTGATACTTTTTTTTTTAATATCATATAAAAACAAAACATACCATAAACATGATAGCGAAAAGCAACTCATAGAAAACCAACCAAAACTTCAAAAAAGACACTTCATTTCAAAGTTACAATGTGATAAAATGCAGATTAAGGAATAATGACATACAGACAGTACATTACCACCAGAAACAGCACAGAAAAAAATCTGTAAAAATTAAGACATCTCGAGAAAGAAAAAAAACCCGCCATTCTAGAATATTTCTTGCTTTTGTTTCCATGGAAACCAAGTATTTAACACATATGTATTCCACAAAAAACAAGAAAGATATTCGGATCTGGATTATTAATAGATAATACAATTTTGAGGTGACACTCGTTTAAAGCATTCCAATTGCCAAAGAAAATATTAAGTCAGAATTTTGTTTGAATTTCTATATATTTCTGTTCAAATATTGTGTACGCAAATGTATGCAGAATTAGACCATGCTGTATTTTCAATACCAGTTGAGAAACCATCATCAAATTTTTAATTCTTGGTAAGCACAATAGTAGCATTGAAAAAATGCAAAAAAAAACTGAAAATATGTATATAGCTCATCTGAATCCATTTTTCAGTCACGGTCACATTTATGCGATACATTTTTTTCGCAAAAATTAAGACGATTTCACAAAAAAAACTTACGATTTTAGATTTTGATAAAATTATTTGTTTGTGAAATCGTTATATTGATAACTCTCTCAGTTTTATCAATCGTTCAATATTTATGATTTTGGCTATGTGTGTGTCACTTTTGATCATATGGCTCTTCGTGTTGAGGCCTTTAACATTTAAGACTTTAAATTTTGGATTTGAACGTTCCTTGTGAAAGTAAAGTCACAAAAGCTTTTCGGCAGCACGAAATTGATATATTTTTTTTTAATTCTGTGAGGAATCTTGATGTTGATGTGTAATTATTGCTCGCATGTTGACAATAATCCCATTATAAGCAATAATCACTGAATATTACTGATATTTTTCTCGTCATTTTTATAATGAACTGTTCGAATATATTTTTCAATTAAAACGAGGATATGATAACACATTATAAAATTGATGGTGAAAAGGAAGGTGTTTACGACAACTGAATCCGACGTTTGTATTTCCGAAAGTATAGAACAGACAATGTCAACAATTATAGAGCAATATGTAATTATGATTTTTCATTTACTTTTTCTATTTATACACATACAATGTACCTATACAAAATATGTTGTTTACAGGCATGATGAATTCAAATAAATAGTATAAGTTTGAATATATGCTAAATGCAACAAAAGAAGGAAAATAAGACATACCTTGTGCACATGTTGTATGAACACAATTCAAAATTAGTAGGCAGTGCATCTGTACGTTTAATGCGTAGTTTAATCGGTTAAAGTGCATCAATGTATAACCGGAACCTAGTCACTCATACATTACTAACACGTATACATTTTTATATCACCTTTAAAACTTCACTAAATTCATCATAAGTGTGAAGGAGAACTAGGATAGGGCTATTATCAAATTAAAATAAAGTTAGAAATCTAAGCATGAGTCTCCTCTACAAAAACCACCAAAAACAGCACCATGGAAAAAAATGATAATTATGTTGACGTAAAACTTATTTTAAAACGAATATGGATCTTTTAATATTGTCTACCTGTCATCAAATTAAACTTTTACACTTTTTCACTTGTCGATTTAGGTAAATAATCTATTTATTGTATATCAAAGTGATGTATTCAGTGAATCTCTCAAATGAAAACAATGTTTAGATTAACGTTTCATTTTATTTAATTCTATTTTAATTTCTATTCTATCTCAAGCAAAGTTGGCCTTGGATGGATTTGGCTATTTTTCAGATCCATTTTGGTTTATGCTCTGCAACGTTTTCGGTCTTTATACATCCTTGACTTTCAAATATTCGGCTTTGAACGTTCCTGATGAAGGTAAATCCAGAAAAGTGCTTCGGACGCATCAAATTTATAACGTGTTGTTTTCATTTTTTCATATTATAATCAAATCGTAGCATGTTTTTGAAAGAGTGATATATAATTCGAAGCAAAGACAACTGTGCTTCAAATTATGGAATAATGTTTGATGTTCTGTGAAGTATCGGTCAATAATGGACAATGATAGAATCACAGTAGTCATACAAAAGAGGGGCAAAGAATACCGAACGGAGACAATAGAAATGAAGTCGTAGGTTTTTTATTTTTCATTTGAATAAGTCCGCTTCTGCTTTTATTGTGCTTTTAATAGCTGACTATTTGATAAGGGATTTTAACATTGATGTTCGGTAATCTGCTTGCATTGTTGCTTACATTTGTTTACTAGTGATAGTTGTCTCATTGGCAATCATCTACCTTTATATACATATACCTGTTTGGAACTTGCATGGCACGTATTCATACTTTTCACTGTAAATTGGTGATTTGATCAATATATTTTTTACACGGCCTGTATTTAGTGTACTCGTTATAATTATTGTTCGCATATCAGTTTCTTAATCATTCATAAATTGATCAAGGAAAGCTTTAAGGATGTGGTTAGGTGAAATTTAAAAAATATAGAATTTAAATTTGATACTTTAAGATTTAGTAAAGGAACAACATAAGCTAAACATACTGATGGGTTATGGAACTCCTTTTTGCAATTTTGATTCTTTAAAAATGGCGAGAAAAGGCTGACTCAGACTTTTACCTTATATTTAGCATTAGCATTTTTTGGGTCTCAAATCGTAAGAAAAAAAATCTAGAATCTGCTTAAATGTTGGTAATGACCTTTTTGTGAGCTATTGAAGTCTTCTATGAAAAGAAAAGTGGGTGATATGGGGGCAAAATATATTACCCTGTATTGTAGGAAAAAACATCTCATAAACATTCATAAATCTGACCTGAGTATATTCTTGAGAACGGATTATTATAAATCATGTTATGGCGAAACCATTCACTAGTGAGCTGGTGATACCCTCGAAGACAACAGGTACAAGCTACGATATGATCATGCTTGAATACAAAAATACACTATCCTTATTAAATTTTTTATACAGATACATGTATATAAAAAAATTGAAGATATGAACTAGAAACCTCATTTCAAACAGAATAGCACAACGTACGGTGATGTTGTAAACCTAGTCCGGAAATTTAGATACAATCCGGGTAAACTTATCAATCCTTTAGATAAACTTATTCTGAAAAGTTACCTATTCAACGCTGAAATTAAATCTTTGAATATTGTTTTTATTGGTATACACATTTATTTTGTTATCAGTAAATTAAAACCATATATACTAGATCATGTAGATGTTACACATTTGTACTTTCACGGTACTACAATATGTCAATATCTATAGTTTGGCATTGCACACGATCATGTTTATCTCTGACTGTTAATGACGTCTTTCTACTAAATCCATTGAATGTTGGATGTGTACTGATTTGTTTTTTAGTCTTAGATACATGATTGGTTTATTAGTTGTCATTGGCTTTGGGGATGTATACGTACCCGTCCACGTCCACTCTGTGTTTACGTTAGATGTGTTTCTATTTGTATCCATCTGATGAGTTAAGCCTTTTTTTAACTGATCTTAATTGTTTGTTCATATGTTGTACTGTTACACCAACGTCCCAGGGTTAGGGGAGGCTTGAGCGCTCATAAACATGTTTACATCTACTTCATTTGAACTTTGGTGGTTAGTTGTCTCATTAGATACCACACCACATCTCCTTATTTTCATATTAACCCCGCCACATTCTTTATGTGTCTGTCCCAAGATAGGAGCCTGTAGTTCAGTGGTTGTCGTTGGTTCATGTCTGTCATATTTGTTTTTCGTAAATTGTTTTGTAATAAATTAGGCCGTTAATTGTCTCAATTGAATTGTTTCATATTGTTCATGTCGAGGCCTTTTATAGCCGACCATACGGTATGAGTTTTTCCCATTGTTGAAGGCCGTACGGTTGCCTATAATTGTTTACATCCACTTCATTTGAACTTTGGTGGATAGTTGTCTCATTGGCAATCATACCACATTTCCTTATTTTTATATAGAGTTGTATTTTTAAAACGAGTTATATGTCAATTGTTTAATTATTGACGTATGTTGTATGTATCTGTTCATAGTCATTTGATACAGAATCCCTAGTGAGATCCTGATATGTAAATACATTTGCATTAGATGTTGATACTTTTATGAGATCCTAAAATGTAGATATATTTTCCATTCTTTCATCGTTATGATATTTATGACCATGACTGTAAAATATCAATTAGATTATTGATATTAATTGTCTACACATATTTTTTGTTAATACAGATTAATTATAATATGTGTTTATTTCATCTGAAAATGTTGAACGGTGAACTCTTAATCTCATAAATCTATAAAGAACAAATGCACATCAAGATAAAAAAAAAACTGTAGGAATCGCGTGAATTCCTTCGACTGGGTAAAAGTCTCCTGCAATGCATTTATCAACCTTTATGCGAATCCACCATCAGTATAAATGTCAAAACCGTCAACAGATGTTTCTGAAAAGAAAATCACTTATTGAAAACGACCGAAGCAAACAGTTTGGGAAGCAATCAACGTCTTTTTGAAAACTTTTTCCATACGTCATCGCCTAAGTAGTGTTAACTTTTAAAGGAAAGAACAAAACAGAAGTAGCAGAGAACATCATTATTTGCATCATACGTTTTACCTTCATGAATATAGACGATTCCAAGTACATAACCGCTTAACTCTCTTAATCCTGTTTCGTCATGTGTAATTGCGGAGCTTTTCTGCAACATTGTTCCAATTTGAAAAGTGATTGCCTATATCTTGGGAATATTTTGATTATTTCCACAGTTTTCCAATGTTTAGACAAATAGTCGGAAGATACCAAAACGACCATCAAAATTTAGAAGTAAAAAAAACCAAACAAAACATGTGTCATTAAGATAGTAGTATGCATATAGTTTGTTTGTAATTCAAATATATTTCCTAGACCTTATCAAACATTTGCACACTGACCGTTTAAAGATTAACAATGTTCTGCTTCAATGTTATGCGTATTTGTATTATAAACATGATAAAAGAAAAGAATGACAAAAGATACAACAGAGATATTCAAACTGACAATGCCATGACGAAAAACGAAAAACGACGTAAAGACAAACAACAGTACACCAAAAACAACATATACAGCTAAAAACTGAGCAACATTAACCCCAACAAAACAGAGTTGATTTCAGTGCTTCGGGAGATGAAGTAGATCCTGCTACGCATAAGGCATCCTCCGTGTTGCTCATGTAAGTACAAGCCCAGTGATAATTCTAACACGGTAGGTAACATTCGTGGAAAGAAGGACGGTATTGGGGTTATTATTATGTTGAGTTATATCTAATACAGTTGTATGTCCTGAGATTTGTTCCTCAATGGAATATTTAATGAATTCATGAAGAACTTGTGATTTTTTAAGATCTGATCCTTTTTAAAAATTATAGAATTATAAAAAGTATTACGCGCGTTTCATCTAGAAAAGACTCATCAGTGACGCTCGAATAAAAAAAGTCACAAATGCCAAATAAAGCAGTTGAAGATAATGCGGACCCAAAATTCTGAAAGGTTTTGTCAAATACAGCAGTTGATAAGGTAATATATTCATGCAAATAATACACCTTCACAAGAACGATCAAATATTATACTGCGTATTGTTAAACAGACAAATATCACCCTTTTGAGAATGACCACGCACAGTTAATTCTATAAATAATTCGTAGTTTTTCTTCACGACGGATGAGGTTCAGCAAAAAATACCCATTACGTCATTAACCAATTTGATTGGATACGGTTCGATTTTTATTTAATTGATTTTAACATATTATCTTATGTGTGTCATGTCGTCCCACAGAAGAAAGATTTTTGTATCACCTTTTAAATATCAATTACTATTGTTGCAGAAGGAAATCTTATGTCATTACAAAGTAATTATATGCACAATTACTTACACTTGTTACAATAGTTTCCAGTTCGTCCTTGCTTACAGCCATCAGTGCAAACTGCAGTATATTAATCACAAATATCATTTAAGCAATTTTTAGTGTTACAACCCCAAATACAAGAACCATTTCGAGGGTAGCAATGTTGGGCTATGAATTTTCGGAGCAGTTCTTGTCACAGTTACTACACCAAAAGCTCGTATGGCAACCTGAAAAAAAAAACAAAACAAAGAAAACTTGTTATTTTATTTAGGGTTCTTGTTACACAATTATAGTAGTGAGACCGTTGCCTATATAGTACGCATTTCGTGTATCTAAATATTTTCGAAAACAAAGGATTTTGTTGGGGTTTTTTTTCCTATTGTCTAATAATTCCTTTTATGTAAAATAGTCATTAAAAAGGTTTGTTTTTTGTTAAG